CAAAAGCTGATGAAGCGTTGAAAGCCAGAGAAAGAAATGAAGAGGAAGCCAAGAGGCGCAAGGAGGAAGGTGAGTGGGGGGTAGGGGCGAGCAGGCATTCGGGACCCGCCACTGACCCACGGGGGCTGCCAGGAGGTCAGCACCCCCATGAGGAGTGTTGCCAGCGCTGGGCCCGGGCTCTGGAGGTCTGGGGGTCTCGACTACGGGAGGCGCGGCCTTGTGCATGTTGAAGGATCCAAAGCCACCACCGGCGTGGATCACACTTCCCTGGAGATTCAGGGCTGGGAGGTCCCTCTCGCGCAGGGCTGTGCCTGGTGCTTAGGGCGTCCATGTGCGGTCAGCTCTGCCCGCTGGACTCGGTGTCACCTGGTCTCCAGCACCTGCCTCCAGCTTATGTGTGTGTATGTGTGTGTGTGTACAGTGAAGGAGAAAAATTCAAAATAACAAGTAAATTTTGCCAATAAAATTCAAAATAACAAGACTCTCCTGAGACAAAATGATGAAATAAAACACTTCTGAAAGAATCATAGTTCAAATTCCATGTAATCTGCAATTTTTTTTTTCTTTTTGGGTTATACCCGGTGATGCACAAGAGTTACTCCTGGTTCATGCACTCAGGAATTACTCCTGGCAGTGCTCAGGGGATCATATGGGATGCTGGGAATCGAACCTGGGTCAGCCGTGTGCAAGGCAAACGCCCTATCCACTGTGCTATTGCTCCAGCTGCGTAATCTGCAATTTTTATCGTTTCAATATTTTCTCTCTATTCTTACGCTCCCTAACAAGTCATTTTCCCGCCCCCAACCTTGTTGCCCGATTTGCCTGTTCGAGAACCATGCGCTTCCCCTTCCTGGAGGCTTTCCCTGTGCTGTCCAAGGCCGAACCCCCAGCATGAGGGTCAGGCAGCCCTTCCCGTGGGCTCGGCTACTGACCACTTAACCCCCCTTCCCCCATCACTGCTGGGTTCCCTTAGTGGGGAGCTTGTTCTCAGGCGAGCTCTCGAGACGACGGAGCCTGGTGACGTGTCCAGGGTAGTAGCTTTGATGCTGGAACCTGAAGGATGGGACGTGGCCTTCGTCCTTGTCCATCACTGGGACCACCAGGAGGAAATTCCACCCCCGCTTAGGGTTGCACCCCGAGGTGTGGTCGAGCCCGGGATGCTCGCAGGCACCGCGCTGAGTGTGGACAAGTAGGCACTTGTGTCGGGGGCTTCTGCCGGCTTGGACCCTGCATTGTCCCCATGCTCTTGTCTGATGTGGCTTGTGACAAACAGTGCATGGAGGAAACAGGTGAACTGCAGTGGCAAAGATCTCAGTGTGATTCCCTTCTTCCGTTCTTTCTAATTGCGCCTTTGACATCATTAGTGGACACAGTCAGCCTGGTTTGGGCTATACAGGTGGTACAGATAGAGGCAACCTCGGACGCCGAATAGCAAATGCCGGTAGAAAGTACTGCTGTGTTATGTGGTATTCTGATCAATGGAAGTGATTGATAACACTGCAGTCCTGATAAAACACAGTGGTACTGTAAATTATAAGTGCGGTACTTATTACCAGCCAGTCAACACAATAAAAATGCTGATTAGTCTAATCCCATTCACTCAACTGTTAATTGGAGTCACAATCACAAGAAGGACGGCGTGGTGATCCCAGATGTGGAAACTGCTAGATGATTGCTTTGGTAAAAGAAATATTTTTAATGTACCAGAACGACCTAGTACTTTTTAGTTGTGGTTGAGTCATCGTGAATTACAAAGCTATAAAGAGATTTATGGTTGAGTTCCAGTTGTGCATTATTACCACACCAGCCCCTTCACCAGTGTCCAACCCCCCACCCCCTCCAATGTCCCCAGTTTCCCTCCTGCCCCCGGCCCACCTCTGTGGCGGGCTTGCCCCTCCCCTCTCTCCTGCCCCTCCCCTCCTTTCTCACCCGCCCTGCCCCCTGCCAGTTCCACTCTGGGCTGGGTGTGGGGGCTGCTCCAAGGGGGTTGGGGGTTCAGGAGGCGTCTCGGTGCTGGGGATCAGCGTGGGCCTCCCACATGGACACATGCTCTGGCCCTTGACCCCGCCCCCCTGCCCTAGCCATAGCTGTCTCCCTGGGCGTACTGAGATATCTGTCATGGTAACGAGAGTGTTAATAAGCCCTTGTGGGGCTGGAGAGATAGCACAGCGGGTAGGGTGTTTGCCTTGCACGCGGCTGACCCGGGTTCGATTCCCAGCGTTCCATATGGTTCCCTGAGCACCACCAGGAGTAACTCCTGTGCATCGCCAGGTGTGACCCAAAAAGCAAAAAAAAAAAAAAAAAAAAAAGCCCTTGCAAGAAAGCGTGAGTGAATGACCGTGTTGGCCCATGTTCTTACCCGTCTGGGCTTCAGCAACTTTTCTTGAACTTGTAGTTGATTGCAAATGTCCACGTCACTGCACCCACAGCTCTGTCCGGGCCTTCTTCCCGGAGGGGCCTCAGCCGCCCAAACTTCCTCCTGCTGAGGAAACCACGAGATGGCCAGGTCTGCCTCCGCTGCTGGCTGTACGCGTCACAGCTTCCCCAAGCCCTCTGGATTTTCAGTCTGTCCAAAGACAGGAAAAGCGTTCCCGTCAGTGATGAAGAAAACTGTACTGATGGGGTTGCCAGTGTGACACTCATTGCACTAATTCCAGATCAACAGGATATTTCGTTCCATAGATTTACGTATGCTATGTGGGTGACCGCTAGGTAGCGTCTCTGCTGTTTGCACCCAAATTCGTTTTCCTATGGATTGTCTAGATACTTGAAAATTCTGGGAATTTTTAATGTGCAAATCATATGCATTTAATATGACTAGTATCTACAAATTGAAACCAGAAACACATGTATTATATATACGTGTGCATACGTGTATATCGATTTCTGCATCTCGAATAATAATCCTTTATTTGTAATCTATCAGCCTCTAGCAGTTCCCTCTGTCAACCTCTCTTTGTTTTGTTTTGTTTTGCTTGGGGGCCACACCCGGAGGTGCTCAGAGTTGACTCCAGGCTCCCGGCGAGCTTTGGGGATCACATGGGCTACCGGGGATCGAACCGGCCCAGCCTCATGCTCTCCATGTGCTACACCCCAGCCCCTGTCACCTCTCTTACACGGCTCATCTCTTTGCTTCTTGGCATGCTGATAGATAGCACGGGTTTGAAAGCTTTGTTAAAATGTAGATAAATCTTACCTGCCTGACTTCCTTTATCCATCTCTTAGTTCAGAACAAATAAACTAAAAGCCTACTGTATTGGCTTTGCAAGATCATGCTTTCCAAATCTATTCTTGCCGTTATGCCATCCTCTGCCTTCAGTATTCTTAAATCAATACCATAATTACGTTTGCAAGTATGACATCTAGGATGAAGGTCAGGACTCGCCCGGGAGACTACTTTGCTTCTCTCCCTGGATCAGGCAAGATGGGTCTGGGGTACGTCTTGTGGCCCTGACGTAATTCATGTTGGTTTTGCCCTTGTCGACTGCCACTGGGGTTGGGGTTGACCCCCCTCCCTCAAACAAATGTCCTCTCGAGAAAAACCACACGCTTTAGTTTAATGACACGAGGGTGGCTTCTTTAGGAAAACGCTACTGAATATTTAAAGTTTTCGATTTATCGTTCTGTTCTTTAAAAGGGGGCAGAGAGACAGTTCGGTGGATGGGGCGCTTGTCATACACCCAGGCAATAGATTCAGTTCCCGAGCCCCGCCAGGAGTGACCCCTGAGCACCACCAGGTGTGGCCCCAAAGACAAACCCAAAAAATCAGTATGTAAAAAATTGAAGTGAAAACATTTTTTCTAATGGTACATTGTGTTTTAGAAAAGGTGAATCATATTAAATCTTTCCATTCTTTTTCCTCTGTGCTCCTTAAATTCTTCCATTGACTTTATCATTTTCTCTGTAGATGTCTGAAATGTTGTAATTATACATGTACATATTTTTTAAATCATTCCATCGTCCTTTTGATTGCTTTTTTGTATGTGTGGGTGCTTTAGCATAGCTTCATAGGCTTCTGGATTTTATTTTGCCATTTAAGGTGGTATTTAAGAGTTCCGGTTACATTTTCAACCTGTTTGTAAGACTAGCGTAGTAGTCTTTGCATGTTAACTTCCCTCTAATGTGAATTTCCTTTGTGGCATGAGTCTAGTAGATGTTGGGTTCATTTCCCCTTATGTTTATTCAGAACAGCTCTCCCATCTGTTAGTTTTCTACTCCAAAAATTCCGGTTTCCAAAAGTGTCAGGCAGATGGAGAAGAGTGATAATGCAGGCTGACTCGGGGGAGGGCTTTGAGCAGTCTCGTTGGTTTACGTTAAAATTTGTCAACCCTTTGACACTTCCGATTGGTGAGAGACAAACAGATTATCCTTGGGCTGGGCTGAGGCTGAATGGTAGACACGTGCTTCATCGGTGTGAAGCCCCGCGTTCATGCCACACACACGCGCGCACGCACACGCGCGCGCACACATGTATCCCCTCCCCGGCTTTAGGAACTCTTCATCATTGCTCTTTTGTGACCATGACGCACACGTTACCCCCCTGCTCCGGGCCTTCCCAGATCAGAGAAGGGAATCCCCGCGGGAACTGGAAAACCGTGTGCGGAACCCAGGCGTGAGGATGACGTGTGGCCCCGTGTGTGTGGACGCATCCTTCTCCCGAGAGAGCAGATAGAAAAGTGTCAGCGGCACCCAGCGGGCGGCACGAACCGGCTGTCTCCGCTCCAGGAACAAGGCAGGGAACTCGCGCTTAAGCTGTTCCCCCAGAGGTGACCCTGGCACTGGCTAGAGTTGTCCAGGGCTGCTCATGGGCCACAAAAGTTAGGGGTCACGGGGGAGAGTTCGGGAATTTGTTGGAGCTAGAGGGCAAAATTTGGGTTGATACAGGAGCAAACTGGACCCCGAAAGTGAGCGTGAATCACCCATAGCCCCACTGGGATTTTTGTGTGTTTGTTTCAATTCCCATGAGACACACAGTTACAAAGTTGTTCATAGTTGGGTTTCAGTCATCCAGTGTTCCAACACCCATCCCTCCACAAGTGCACTTTTCCCACCACCAGTATCCCCAGTTT